TCTCTACCTGGATGTTAGAGTTTACAACCCCCATGGTTTCTATCTTTTTACTTTATCCTTCTTCCACCCCCCCCCCCCCCCCCCCCAGTTTTGTTTGAGGCAGCAGACTTTTAAAAATGTCCTCTGTAGAGGGAAGCTGCTGTAAACAGACGGAGAGGCAGCGGTGCCTTCGGTGGATGAAGGATGAAGTCGTCAGCTGGAAACCATAAAGGTTGTAAACTCCATCATCCAGGTAGAGAACTACGACGAGGATAACTTGTCTCATCTGGGCCAGCTTCTTTAAGTGAGAAACGTTTCGTCTCCAATCCAGAGGACTTCCTCAGTCTGCGGCCTGCCAACAGCTCTGTCCCACAGGCAGCCTCCACTGCTGTTTCAAGGTAACTCCCTGTTGGAGTCTCAAAGCAGGATTTTAACACGTTCTAATCAATCATCATGAACAACAATCATGTTTTAGGTCACATGACCAACTTGCTACTCACAGAAACAGCCCGAGGACACCAAGGCCAAAGGGGTTCAGAAAAAGAGAAATCCTGGAAACAATATTTAGAAAGATGAAATGGTTGGAAACAGATAAAAGTTGGATTCAAGTCAGAGACAAAATTACCTTTTTCATGTCTCCCAGTAAAACCATCATTGTGGTTTTACTGGTGCTGCCAAAGCTGAAGCTTTAAAGCAACTTCTCTTTGTGGCATGAGAGCAATTTTTAATTTATTTTTTTCAAAGTTTAACAAGTTAATTGTGTCCTGTAATTAACTTTTCATTCATTCAATCTTTATTTCTCCAGGTTAATCCCACTGAGCCTCAGGACTCATTTACAGGAGAGACCTGGTTTAACAGAGACTGAAGACAACAATGGACAGATATAAAACCTTGTGACCTGTCCAGGATGTAGAGTGACTGCTGGAGACCCCTTCCTGCGACCCGTCAGAAGATGGATGGATGGATGGATGGATGGACGGACGGATGGATGGATGGATGGATGGATGGATGGATGGATGGACGGACGGATGGATGGATGATGGATGGATGGATGGATGGATGGATGGATGGATGGATGGACGGATGGACGGACGGATGGATGGATGGATGGATGGATGGATGGATGGATGGATGGACGGACATATTCATTCTGAACAAGTTAGACTGACACAAGCTCTTCAAACAGCTAAAAAACTCGTTTATTGTTATGATTCCTGTCTTCCTCCCTGTTTCCTCCTCTTTTCTCTCCCAGGTGGAGCTGTGGGACGTGAACCTCTGTTCTGCACTTCCTGGTTAGCTCCTGTTCCAAGCGCCTCACCTGCACGAGATCAGCCCCGTCCTCCTCATCCAGCCCCTCGATGGTCACGGTCTCCAGACAGCCGTCCCTTTTCTTCAGGTGTGTTTCCAGTCAGGGTGTAGGGGCGTTGGTGCCTGCCCCCCCCAGTCACTGCGTTCATGAATTTTCATTTCACTTCTGATCTGCGTGCTCGGTAATTTAAAAACTGGGACCTCAGAAGTGCTCTGGCCTTTGCGTCCCCACAGACTTTGTCTTCTGTGCATTTCTGTTTCTGCAGCATTTCTCTATTCTTTCTTTTTGCTTTTATTTGTGACAAAGTTTGATGAAAGTGCTGTTTTAATTTCTCTATTGTCTTATTTGTTGTCTGTGGCTGAGTGGTGAGAGCAGTGGTCCTCCACTGCAAGAGTTGGGGGTTCGAATCCACCAGCAGTCACATGCTGAAGTGTCCCTGGGCAAGGCACTGAACCCCTTGTTTTCATTCAACCTTTGTTTCTACCGGTTAATCTCAGTGAGCCTCTGATGTGCGTCTCATCTGATTGTTCTCATGAGAAGGAGTTGTTCCATGAGCTTTGCACAGATCTGGCCGAGCGCTGTGTGAATGTGTACATGAGGCCCAGGCTGTTGTGAAGAGCTTTGAGTGTCTTCATACAGTCCATTTATCACTATTTGTGTTTTTTCAAGCTTTGAACTGAGCCGCCACGAACTGACTCAATATTCCAAGTATTTTTATTTAAAGATGTGATACATATTCAAACTATCTATAAAATGATTTAAATATCCATATTTCAAATATTTCTTGTAAATGTTTTCAAAGTGATGATGTAAAAGAACAGCTTCATCCATCTCACGGGCGTTCAGTTGTTTTTTATTCCCTCTCCTCTCTTCCTTTATGCTTTTATTCCAGACAGGTTTTCTTCTCAAACATTTTGAAGAACTTCAGGAGATTAAAAAAAGTAAATCAATTTTATCACCTCCTTCTGCGTCTTCTCTATCTCATTTCCTCCGTTGTGTCTTCCACCTCTCCCTCCATCCATTTTCTCTCAGGTGTGATCTGAGCGGGGAGTCTCTGTCTAGACAACTGATTATACGGAATAATGAGGGAGAGGGGGTGGCAGGCCAACACAGGAGCTTCATAAGAAAAGGAGGGAGGAGGAGGTGAAGGAAAGAGAGTGTCAGACAGTGAAGGAGAGAAAAAAGGTGTAAAGGGGAGGACAGAGGGAGGAAACGCAACGTGCGAGAAGCAAAATATATAAAAACATAAGAGAAGGGATGAAGGGGACACAAGGATGAATCAGGGATGAAACAAGAAAAATCAAAAGGCAAGAGGGAGTAAATTTAAATAGATGTTCCAAAGAAGCAAGTGAAACAAAACGAAAGTAAAACTGAAGCATAAAAACAAGAAAAAAGAAGGAGCAGAAAGATGAAAGAGGAACAGAAACCATTAAATCTGTTGTTAGGAAACCCACACAGGCTTTACCCCTCTGTGTGACGGGTGTCTTTAGTTTGGTGATGACTAACACACACACACACACACACACACACACAGACCCACACACACACACACCCACACACACACACACACGCACACACACAGACCCACACACACACACACACAGACCCACACACACGCACGCACACACACACTGTAATAGGCTTATCCAGCGCTGCAGTTTTATCCTTTAAACTGAGTCTTCCTCGCTGTTAAGAATGAAAGAACATTGTTTTTTGCTGAAATGTTGGAGACGTGTAAAGAAACCTTCCTGTGGGTGTGAAACAACATTTTCATTTTGTCTGCATTTACAACTGGCTGCAAGAAAAACAGATTAAATGAGTCAGGCAGGGCCGCACGGTTTATCAGCCATCGAACAGGCAGACGAGAGGAAAAACAACCACGGATATTTTTTCTTGGGAAGTTCATTAAGGCCACATTTGGCTCAGCTTCAGCCTCATAACGAATCAAAGGCTCTTGTCCTCCTTTCAGACCGATGGCTCTGTTGATGCCGCAGGGATCCCAGTGCAGAGGGTGAACAAATAACAAGAGTAAAAAACTGAACCAACGTCAAGTTTTGGTGCAATGCAGAAGAAAGGAAGACATTCATTCAAATACACTCACTGTCAAGCAGCAGCATCTGCAGGGGGAGGAGCTTAAGATGAATAGGTGGGTGAACAGTTTTCATTAATTACCTTTAATGATCATACGGCCTCCTTCAGCTGGATGTCCACAGCAGATCACCTGCCTCCATCTCAGCCGCCACTGTCACAACCTCCTGCAGATCCTCCTCCTTCTCTGCACCTAACAAGCTCTTCTGTGGTCCAACATCATTTGTCCAATATTCAGTTTATTTAAATATCACAGCAGAAGTCATCCCAGGGCACTGAACATTCAACATTCATATAAAGTAAGTGAACACTAGTTATCTGAGATTAGATCAAACAAGGGCGGTTGTAGCGTGAAGGATGTGAAAGAACTGGTGAAACTCTCCGGAAATGATTGTTTTTTTATTTGAAAACTTTCCTGGCATAAAGCTCAAGTTATAAACGCCTCTTCAACCTGCATGGATGTTTCAAGTGGAACAACAATGAGCAAAAACACAGGTTTCAGCACTGGTCCAGGATATTGTAATGGTAAGCAAATTGTTTAACCAACAAATGAATAATTATTCTGAGTTTTCTACATAAATGTCATCCAACTAAAATAACTTCTTCATGCTCATATCAGGATGTACACAGCCATGCAGTACTGTCCAACTCAGAGACTATTAGTACTAGTATTAGTACTAGTATTAGTACTAGTATTACTGCCACCTCTTGGTCAAAACTAAATACAGCATCAACCTGTCGCTCTTAAAATAAAAAATAAAAACTTGAGTAAATGTCAGAATTTACAATGATTTTAACCTCCTACCACCACACATGCAAGAGTTCGGGTCTTGGGAGATTAAGGTAAAACATGCACATTAACAATTATGCACAAATTTTAAATATAGGAATTTTTAGTAGTTTCCGGTCAAAGACTATTTACGTACTTTAAAGTACATTTACAATCAATATAATCATCTTGTTGAAGAACATAAAAATCGCAACCGACTTTAAGGTGACACTTATTGTGTGTTTTATATATTGTTTGTGTTTTTAAATCCTTATGTTTTTTTTTCTTTTCCGGTGTTGCGTCGAAACGTGTTCGGCAGCTCGGGTGTTTCATCTATAATTGTCCCCGGATTAACGTTCCACACTTCAAGAGTTCCACAACACGCGCGTTGTTGCTGCGTTGCCTTTTCTTCTCATCTGGGTGTGATGAGTGCCGATAACAGCGATGGAAATGTGTCTGTGCCTTTACGGAATGTGCTCAATTCCGTTCAGTGCATCAGAGACCGAGTCAGAGGTGAATGTCCGGTATTTATGGGCTGAACACAAAACATCTGCAGCTAAACGCTAACAAGCTAGCCACAACGTTAGCATCAGCTGATGTTTATCAAAATATTCCGCGTCAGCTTCATCGACGTGTAAGGAAATATAAAAGAGCACGTCAGTGGTGTAGTTACTAATTATTTTCATGTTTTATTTAGTTTAGTCATTTGTTAGTTCAGTGTTTGTTCCTGTGTGAGTCGTGTAAATGAACGTGTTTTTTATTGGTATCAGTTAAAATTATATTTTACACGCAAACATTGACTTCAGCTGCAAGATACAAACTAAATAAACAGAGCAAAAAGATTTTAATTGAAAGAAAGTTGACCCCTCAGGACTGTGTGTGCCACCATGTACGGGTAAAACCTGCTGCTGCTCAGTAATCCAGGTAGAAATGTATTTAAAAAGGTTAAAACATGTAGAAGCGTTTCGGCTTTCATCCAAAAGACTTCTTCAG